GGGGCATGTGCTTCCTGAGGACAGTTCGTATGGAAAGGTATGTCCAACACGGCGAGATATATAAGATTAAACAAAATTCACGTCTCCAAATTTTTATCTTAAGGTCTGTGCCTTGATCTTCGTAGCATATGTCTTGATTGCAAACTCATTTTTTTCATCGAGGGCGAGAAAGGATCTGCTGGACAAAAAGGATCAAAGGGAGAAAAAGGACAGAAAGGAATGCTGGGAACATGTGATCACCAGGTATGGAAACGTAATTGGCTTTAATATCATCACTTAAAAGCGTAACAGTCTTTTTATCCCTCTAGAGTATTCTCATCTTTGACATTCAGCTTTTAACAATGCTTTTCAGAGCTCCTCGTCTTCCTCCACGAAAAGAGAATGCTGTAAAGTTGGTAGGAATAATTCATTATTTGTTTTGTTTTAATGATAAACGTGCTTAAATGAGGATCCAATTCGACTTACATCTCAGCCTAATTTCATACAGAATTTTAGTATAATTTTTTAATTCTTCCAATATTTTGATTGCAATACAGTGGTAAGCAACTGAGGTCACTCAGCTTTTTACGAGTTTCAGGAAAATAAGGCAAAAAAAAATGTGAGCATGTTTTGAATAGGCTGTTCATGACTATGAAAAACTTTATTTTTATTGGAAGGATTGTTGAATAACACTTAGGCTTTTTTATGCCAATTTCGAAGGAAAGAAAAGGAGATTTTTGAAGCTGCAGTCCTTTAAAGAACTGATGATTAACAAAAACTAAACCATCTAAAGCCACCTTAAAAATGTTTATAGCCAGAAACACTGAATGAAAAGTAAACCAAGACAACCAGTTGTTTTCTTCTTATCAAAGAATGTTCCACTGGTTTCCATTTCTTCGAAAAAGTTCAAGACTTGCCTACCAGAGGAGCTGCAGCTGTTCAACACTTTACCATCAACGGAAGTCTGTTCCTCGCCTTTGGGAACTATTATGGAGATATTCACTACTACAAGACAAGCTCCATGATTTATAAGATGGATGAAACGACTGGAAAATTTACGTTCTACCAGACCCTGCAAACTAGAGGTGCACTAGGAGTTGAGTACTTTTCTATAGCTGATAAACGTTTCCTGGCTGTGGCTAATAATCATGATGGTACATACCAACTTGACTCTGTGATCTTCCAGTGAAATGGACAGCGGTTTTCGGTATTCCAGAAATTACCAACAAAAGGAGCTTCACACTTCAAGTTCTTCACATTGAATGGTGAAAAATATCTTACAGTAGCAAATTTCCATGATAGAAGTACCCACTCGACAAAATCCGTCATCTACAAGTGGAATGGCATCAAGTTCAATAAGTTCCAGGAGATAGCAACTGAGGGTGCCTTCGGATGTACGGCATTTCGAATAAACAATGTCAGTTTCATCGCTTTCGCAAACTATTACAACTCTCAGCAAAAGCATTCTGTTCAGTCCACTGTGTTCAAATGGTCAGGAAGACACTTTGTCAAACTACAGTCTCTTCAAACTTACGGGGCATTTGGCGTGAAGTCTGTTTACATCAATGGTCATACATTCCTCGCTTTTGCCTGCCACTACTCTGGAAGGTCTCACAACACTGACTCGTTTATTTACAAATGGGATGGTACCAAGTTCGTACTTTTTCAGTCCATTCCCACTCGTGGAGCCCGTGCATGGTATCCATTCGTGATCAGTGGTCATACCTACTTGGGAGTGGCCAATTTCTACGACAGCAGCCAGAAATACAATACTCAGTCAGCTGTGTACCAAGCCTCCGGAGCTCAGTTCGTTAAATATCAAGAGATCTCCACCCATGGAGCAAATGCTATGACATCATTTGAGTACAAAGGTCACACTTATCTGGCAGTAGCAAACCAACACAGTCAGAAATACAACATAAATAGCGCTTTGTACAAGTGGGTATAAAGAGAGGGATAAAAGACGAACAGTGTAATGATCAAGAGTCGCATTATCTGCTTATGCATAATTGAATTAATAGTAGCTCAAAATCGATCAAAAGCTCAGGTTTTGGGATTCTTTGAGGGATTTGATCTGTTTGATAACTTAGTGTTTTATCAGTCATTCATTGGTCAAGATATCAAAATATTCGAAGGAAGAATGAAACTTTGCAATAAAGCTGTGCATTGAACATGATGCTTAGGTCTGGTTTCTTTCTAATGTATTTCACTCATATCAATAAAAGGTGATGAAAAGAAAGCTGAGACTAAGTGACAAAATGAAAGCAGCAACCAGTCGTTCACATGCTGTAGAAGCGGGTGGGTGGGTAGATCAGTGTTCGCTAACATAGTGTAAAGGGTGGACTGTAGAGAAAATGACTGCCATTTAACTGCCAAGGAGGGGGATCATAAGAACATTAATATTACAGGTCATTCAATCATGCAGGGATAAAGAAGCCATCAACATAATATGAGTTGATAATAGTTCATAATATGAGCCATCAACATAATATTTTACTTTCGCTCGGGTGAATAAGATCAGAGCATCGATGTAATTTTACAATTTTCGTGTAGTTTATGACCCTCTTAAAAGGAGTTTTGCTGCCAACGACTTAACTTGTCAAAGAGATTATTTCGTTTTGCTTTTAACAGCCAAATAAATGAGCTAAAGAAATGAGCTCGGCCCACAAAGTTTGTCAGACGTGATAATTATAAGCTCAGTGAAAGATACCGCGCGCTTCGAACTCCAAGGTAGTCATGAGAACGAAGGCGAGGTTCAGAGTTCAAAGTTGGGAAAACTAACCTCTTCGAAAGCAAATTCGGGGCTTCATCGCTGCTAAGGTAGCTTACACATAAAGCCTAAGGAAAACATATAGTGTGTTTAATGATTAGAAGCAATCCTGTGTTAAAATCACATGATGGGCAGCTGTGTGAACGACAGAGAGCAGATTTCAATTTCCAGAGGACTGACCTCCGTGATATTAACGGTAGGTGGGTAGGTAGGTGTCTATTAAAATCACTTTGCAGCTCATAGGCTGATTTACGTAATTGTTTACATACCAAGATTTATAAAAGTTACAGTAATGATTAAAGTATAATATACATGCTGACTATGTTTAAAAGAGATCTAGTAAATGATAACTGGCATTATAATAAAACCTTTATACCTTTCTTGTAGCTATGATATATAATTTGGAAATAACCTACAATGATCGTTACAAGTTCTACTATTAAAATTCATTGCAATGAGAAAATTCATTGCAATTATAAAAGAGTTCTTTGGCCTATTGCCGCGGACATGTGGCATATTGTAAAGGCGATGGTTTCTTAAATTATACCTTGGATTCTTATATAAAGGTAGAAGTAAGCTTTTCAGCCCATGGTCTTTATCGGATGTGATGCTATGAAAAAGCTTATCAAATAATGAATCAATATGATCCACCAGTTAGCCTCCCACCTAGCTCAATGGATAGAGCGCTGGACTGTTGTGCGGGAGGTCGAGGGTTCGAGCCCCGGCCGGACCAACACTCAAGGTCTTAAAATAATTGAGAAGAATATGCTACCTTTCTATAACATCAAGAAATGGTTAGATATTCTAGTCTTCTCGGATAGGGACGAATAAATGGAGGTCCCGTCTCCT